CAACTTTCAGGAAAGGGCAGATTAAACGATTGGTTGTTTTGCTCTTCCTTATCATGTTTTGTTACTTATTGTTTTAATAATATGACAATGCTTGCTGGTTTTAAAATTTTATGGCGACTACTGTCTTGTATTAGAACAAACTGTACTATTATTTGATGAAATGTTTTCTACCACCCTGGAAATTTTCAGCTCGAAGGGGAGGGATATAATAATAATAATAATAATAATAATAATAATAATAATAATATGATTATATTAAAACACTTAACATCTTCACTCACCTTTTGCTCCTTCACTAGGGGGCGTCTGCTTCTCCAGCAACGCCTCAGGTTGCTCCGACCACAACTTGTAGTTGGGGTTGCTGAGGAAACGCTTGGTGAGGCCACAGGTGAGACAACGCACAATGGTCCACCGCTGATGACGGCGCTCTGGTGAGAGAGGCGAGGAGCAAATGAGTCAGGGAAGCCTGGAAAACAGTGGGTCAGACTCCTTCCCTGCCCTGATATTTCCAGCTTTCCTCCCAAACTTTCAGCTATATCATCGGTTCCCTCACTTTTTCATTGCCCAGCCTCACTTGTTTCTGCGCTCACAACCACAACAATCCATCTCTCAATCTAATAATCTGTACATAAAGGGAAGTTAGGAAGAAATATTAATTCTCCAGCGGTCTCTACTTCCTCCGAAGAAGAAATAAAGGAGGATCCCCAAAAAGCAGGGATGGGGAACCCTGCAGATGTTGTTGAATCCCATCAGTCCCAGTTGACATGGCCAATGGACAGGGATAATGGAAGATGGCCCTCAGCCACATCTGGAGGGCCACTGGTTCCCTGTAGAGCAGCTATAGGGAACCCAAGTCTTGGGGGCTGAATGTGGCCCTCCACGAATTTCCATCTGGCCCTAGTGATTATCCGTAGGCTCCACCCCTTACCAGGGGGAGGCCACGCTACACTTTCAAGTAGGAATGTGTGAACTGGTTCACCACCATTCTGGGGGAATGCTCAGGGTAATTTAGTTTGTGGACTGCCACCTGTACATCTTTCAAGGGGAAAGACACTCCCTTGTTTTGTCCTTCCTGCCTTCCCAACTTGGTGCAGCCCACTCTCGGCTTTGTTTGTGAAGAGGGGAACCACTGCACCAAACCCAGAGGTCTCTCCAAAGCACAGAGCCCACATAGCCTCACAGAGGAGGGAGGAGGAGGAGGAGGAAGAAGAAGAAGAAGAAGAAGAAGAAGAAGAAGAAGAGACAGGGCCACTTACTTCTCTGGCGCACAGTGGAGCTGACTCCAGGGACGAGAGGCGAGAAGCAAGATTTGCAGATGGTTCTTTTCACAGATGGATCCCTGCAAGACAAAGGGAAATGAAGGTTAAGTAGCAAATGTTGTGTTGGACAACTGAGTAAAGGTAAAGGACCCCTGGGTGGTAAAGTCCAGTCAAAGGCGACTATGGGGTTGTGGTGCTCATCTCGCTTTCAGGCTGAGAGAGCCAGCGTTTGTCCGCAGACAGCATTCCGGGTCCTGTGGCCAGCGTGACTAAACCGCTTCTGGCGCAACAGGACACTGTGACAGAAGCCAGAGCGCACGGAAACGCCATTTACCTTCCCACCACAGTGGTACCTATTTTTCTACTTGCACTGGTGTGCTTTCGAACTGCTAGGTTGGCAGGAGCTGGGTTGGAGCAATGGGAGCTCACCCCGTCGCGGAGATTCGAATCGCTGACCTTCTGATTGGCAAGCCCAAGAGGCTCAGTGGTTTAGACCAAAGTGCCACCCGCGTCCCTGTATCAGAAGCAGGATGCCTGTGAATGCCAATGGCCCCTGCTCATGGGCATCTGGGTCCCCTAACCACTGCCCTGGCACTCACTGTCTTAACACGAGCCGCCGGCTGATGCTGTTCTGCGTGTGGCAATAAAAGCGAGCCAGTTCCTGATTCTCTGGGTTCTGCCGAAGGACGCAATGCGCTGCCTGTTGCGGGGGAATGGAAGTAAGTTGAACATCCTCAGCATCACCCCCACCCCCCCAAGAAATTCCATAAATGCACGGTTTTCCTGCACAACAGGTCCTTGCCAATGGCAGCACCCATAACTTATTAAGTCTCTTATGGAAAAAACAGTACGGTCCCGCAGCAGCTTATAGCCAAGTATACCATAGCATAAGCTTCTATGGACCAGAGCTTACAGTGGCAGAAGGATAAAACAGTTAGGCAGTTTGTCCCACTCCAGGTTTTAATTTACTTAGCTATGTGAAAACTATAGTGCTATTTTCACCGACTGCAGCGGTTATTGATGGGCATTTCGCTTGTCTGGCATACACTTGAGAATTAACTGAACCATTGCAAACTACACTGTTTGTTGTTGTTGTTTAGTCGTGTCCGACTCTTTGTGACCCCATGGACCAGAGCATGCCAGGCACTTCTGTCTCCCACTGCCTCCCGCAGTTTAGTCAGACTCATGCTGGTAGCTTTGAGAACACTGTCCAGCCATCTCGTCCTCTGTCGTCCCCTTCTCCTTGTGCCCTCCATCTTTCCCAACATCAGGGTCTTTTCCAGGGAGTCTGTTTGCATTTTGTTATTATATAAACTCCGCTCACAGTTCCTACCACCACTTGCACTATTACTTGCCAGCTGAGGATACACGCATCTGATCAGGACCGAATACTGAACACTTTATACATCACTCTTCCTTTGCAAGTACTGCAAAACGGGGTGTTGTTTTTTAAGTACAGAGGCAGACCACACACATGCAAAACAGTGTGCGTCCCGGGGGCGTGGTGTGCCGCCCGTAGGGGCGTGGTGCCCAGCGTGGACAGGGGGCAGCCATGATGGCACCCCGCGGGATCGCGCTGCCGGGGGCGGTGTGTCCCCCCCTTCCTCTGCCAGTGATCCAAAAGGTACAGAGGCAGGTGGGGAATCATAAAAGTGAAGCCAAAAGGCCAAGCACAAGAAAGCCAGTTTAGGGTAGAGGCTTTCAGTTGTGCCAGAGAAAGGATGAAGATTCTGCAAGTACAGTATTTTGTGAACAACGTGGTAGTTAGCAAATACGACTGGTGTACAAGGAACACTCTCCCTTACCTGGTAGAGGAAGCTGAGCCTCTGAAATGCTTCTTTGTCTTTTATCATGGCTGACACAGGGAATCGTTACAATATTTTTTTAAAGTGATGGTGCTGACACAAGAGAAGAGAAACCTGCAGTAAACAGGGATTTATTTATTTTTTAAAAAAAACAGGCAGCAATTGTAGCAAACAGCAACCTACGTCATGCAATCTCACAGGGCTATTCCAATGTCTTCAGCTTCTATTTTTGCTGGATCTTAATTGTATATTCTATTTCATCGTAGGCCAAAAATAAAACAATCGCATCAATGGGTGAAACTGTGAACCCAATATACTTTGTTGTAACCTGAGAAAATGTGTAAAAATTAAAATAAAACATATGAGTGGTGAATGTGGAAAACACTCGGAGGAAGCGCGAGTATATTTATTTTTGCATTCTTATTATTTAAAGCAAGCGGTTAAGGAAAATCACCTTGCTCATATTTTAAAACAAGTTCTGTCTCGATACCACAATATGCAAAGGGAAATTCCCTTGGCACTGAAAACAGAGGGCAGGACTGAGCCGTGCTGCAAATAAATTGCAGGAAGCGCCATGAAACGCAGAGTGAGTTAGATCCAGATAAACATGCATAAGATACAGCGTGATAATCCATTAAATCCCCTTTATGTGGAAATCTGCTCTCTCTCTCCTGGACTTACCTAAAAAGACCCTACCTTTTGCACCCCCAGATCGTTATTCCATCAGCACATCTTACGCTGGGACAAAGAGGCGCCTCCAGATCAATCGCTTTCTCCAACTAAGCCGTCCGCATGCATCCTCTTCCTGGTTTCATGCAGCAAAGGCATCTGGGAAATGTAGTCCGCTCTCAGTCTAGTGTGGATTAATGCAAAAAAACATCGAAGCACCAAATGGGAGTCGAGGCGCCAGGTGTGCACAGGGTCTCTCAGGAACAGCAAGCACCATTAAAAAGTTATAAACAGCTCAGAGACTTTCCCATGGGAAGTATTCCTGGAGTGGGACAAGATCAGGTGATGGATGGATTTGGGACAAAGCTAGATGTGGTGGATCTTCTGGATTCCTGACAGGGAACTCTGTCATAATCCAGTGCCAAAATGGGAGGGAATGGTTTCAGAGTGGGAAGAAGAAGCAGGTGGGATGGCTAAGCCAGGCTCAAGTGACGTCCCCCTGAAAAGGATGTCTCAATTCGATCGAGCCAGGGCCCTCCAGATGTTAATGTTGTAAACACTGGACCAGAAAAGTTGCAAAGCAACTTCAAAAGTTGTACAACCCCCCCCCCCATAGGCCACTTGTCCCTTACCGTCAATGCACTCTGTGCTCAGTGGTGTTGTTGTTTAGTCTTTTAGTCGTGTCCGACTCTTCGTGACCCCATGGACCAGAGCATGCCAGGCACTCCTGTCCTCCACTACCTCCCGCAGTTTGGTCAAACTCATGCTGGTAGCTTCGAGAACACTGTCCAGCCATCTCGTCCTCTGTCGTCCCCTTCTCCTTGTGCCCTCCATCTTTCCCAACATCAGGGTCTTTTCCAGGGAGTCTTCTCTTCTCATGAGGTGGCCAAAGTATTGGAGCCTCAGCTTCAGGATCTGTCCTTCCAGTGAGCACTCAGGGCTGATTTCCTTCAGAATGGAGAGGTTTGATCTTCTTGCAGTCCATGGGACTCTCAAGAGTCTCCACCAGCACCATAATTCAAAAGCATCAATTCTTCGGTGATCAGCCTTCTTTATGGTCCAGCTCTCACTTCCATACAACACCACTGGGAAAACCATAGCTTTAACTATACAGGCCTTTGTGCTCAGTGTTAGCAGCCTAATAATGGGGCAATTACCATATATTTAAAGCACTTGGTTTCTCCCAAAGAATCCTGGGAACGGTAGTTTTCTACGGGTGCTGGGAATTGTAGCTGCGTGAGATCCCCAGGATTCTTTGGGGGAAATGATGTGCTCTCAGCGTGCCATGTGCATGCAGTGATCATAGGTCAGATGAAGATCTTTCATCTCAAGATATTGCCAGGGACTTTAATCAGAGCAGGTGGATATTTTCCTAAGCTTTCAACCTTCGTTCTGGGGTTCCACTGGGGCACAGCTGATATGGTATCTCCACAGAGATATGCCATCTGGCTAAGAGGCAAAGAGACACCAAGATCATAACCACAGACTACCCGCTTGTTCCCGAGACAACAATAGCTGACCTGTTGCTAATCCGGCTGCTTCCAAACCGAACTGGGAATTTGGCTCAGAACCACAAACCCACAACTTCATCATGGCTCAAAGAGGTGAGTCTCTGCTCTGCTCCACCACCCAAGGAAGGGTTAAATGCTGAGGGCCAAACAAAGGAGGTGATGATGGAGATTCGTGACTGGATCTCCATCACTGGATCTCCTGTTTTAAAGGCTCCCCTGTAGCTACTCAGGAAGTGGGGGATTAAACCCTCACTCCTGCAATAGTTTTTCTCGCCCACTCTGGCAGCTGAAAAAAATGTTATTTGGGGATTTATTTTGTTTTGTTTTAATTTTTTTGGTCTTGGGGCAAATAGCAGCTCTTTGGAGGGCAAGGCCTTTCCCAGTGCTTTCTATCCCCTCCACAATCCTGTGAGGCCATTTAGGCTGGGAGACTGTGACTAGCCCAAGGTCACCCAGTGAGTTTCATAGCCAGGTAGGGATTTGAACCCTGGTTTCCCAGGTCCTTGTCTGACTCTCTAACCACAACCCAACACCGGCTCTCTCCTTCAGCTGAACTTCTGAACAGAATAGATGGTTTGCATGCACCGAGAATCTGTTTTTAAAAGTTGGAGGTATCAGGGTAGTTAGGGGCAGGGAGCCAAGGCAACTGCTATGTGCTTTCAGCAGCTACAGCTGTAACATTTGGGAAGTCCTTTAGAGGAGAGGAGGGACGCGGGTGGCACTGTGGGTTAAACCACAGAGCCTAGGACTTGCCGATCAGAAGGTCGCGGTTCGAATCCCCGCGACGGGGTGAGCTCCCGTTGCTCGGTCCCTGCTCCTGCCAACCTAGCAGTTCGAAAGTACGTCAAAGTGCAAGTAGATAAATAGGTACCGCTCCGGCGGGAAGGTAAACGGCGTTTCCGTGCGCTGGTCTGGTTCGCCAGAAGCGGCTTAGTCATGCTGGCCTCATGACCTGGAAGCTGTACGCCGGCTCCCTCGGCCAGTAAAGTGAGATGAGTGCCGTAACCCCAGAGTCGGCCACGACTGAACCTAATGGTCAGGGGTCCCTTTACCTTTATCTTTAGAGGAGAGACAGACCGATGCCAGCACCATCCTGAGAAAACTCACACTCGGCACTCCTAAACAGATGGAATTTGCTGCCACCTGCTGGTGAAAGGATTAAGTAACATTTGAGGCTACGGTACAGTCCTCATTCCAGTTAAGTGGGGCCTTCATAGAAACATAGACTTGTAGAATTGGAAGGGACCATGAGGGTCATCTAATCCAACCCCCAGCAATGCAGGAATCCTTTGCCCAATGTGGGGCTCGGACCCACGACTCTGAGATCCAGAGTCACATGCTCCACCAATTTGGCTACCCTTGTTTCATTTGGAAATATTCGTTAATTTTCTCGCAGACGTTTGTTCCTTTTTCCTGCTGCCACCTCTGCGTTTAAGCTCTTCATGCCTTCTTGTCTTTATGGCTCTCAAGATGCACAATCTGGTTCCTTTTCTGCTCATTGCTCTGTGTTTCCTTCTTCAAACGGCCTCCTTGCTGGTTTGTGTCTGTTGCTTCAATGCAAGTTATTCTCCTGCAATACAGTGGTACCTTAGTTCTCAGACGCCTTGGTACTCAAACAAGTTGGAACCCAAACACTGCAAACCCAGAAGTAAGTGTTCTGGTTTGCAAAATTTTTGGAAGTTGAATGTGCTCCGTTTTGAGTGCCACGCTTCCGTTTCGAGTGTTACACTGGGTCTGTCTGTTTTTGCTATTTATTTTGCATTTTTGTGGCTCTTTTTGTGTGACAATCTGGAACCCAGTTCAGGGTTGCGGCAGCTAGACTGGTGACTGGGAGTGGCCGCCGGGACCATATAACACCGGTTCTGAGAGACCTGCATTGGCTCCCAGTACGTTTCCGAGCACGATTCAAAGTGTTGGTGCTGACCTTTAAAGCCCTAAACGGCCTCGGTCCTGTATACCTGAAGGAGCGTCTCCACCCCCATCATTCAGCCCGGACACTGAGATCCAGCGCCGAGGGCCTTCTGGCGGTTCCCTCATTGCGAGAAGTGAGGCTACAGGGAACCAGACAGAGGGCCTTCTCGGTAGTGGCGCCCGCCCTGTGGAACGCCCTCCCATTAGATGTCAAAGAAATAAATAATTACCTGATATTCAGAAGACATCTTAAGGCAGCCCTGTTCAGGGAAGTTTTTAATATGTAACGCTGTACTGTTTTTAACACTGATTGGGAGCCGCCCAGAGTGGCTGGGGAAACTCAGCCAGATGGGCGGGGTATAAATAATAAATTATTATTATTATTATTATTATTATTATTATTACTGATTTATTGATTGACTGCAGAACATTGTTTATTGCTTTCATTTTATGGATCATTTGTCTCGTTAGATAGTAAAATTCATGTTAAATTGCTGTTTTAGGGGTTGTTTTTGAAAGTGTGGAATGGATTAATCCATTTTGCATTACTTTCTATGGGAAAGTGTGCCTTGGTTTTGGAACGCTTTGGTTTTGGAACAGACTTCTGGAATGGATTAAGTTTGAGAACCAAGGTGCCACTGTATGTTATTGTTGCTTTTCACATCCAAATAAAAATAAAAGATTTATATACTCCTTACTAGAACAAAAGGCCTCCAAGCTGTTAACAATAAACAGTCTAAAGCAGTCATTAAAAAAATAGTTACATAAAAAAAACCTAATTCCTTTCAGTTGCCATGATGTTGTGCCGAGTATTTTCATGCCTGTTCCTGCTGGGCCTCAGTTCCGCCTCTGAGGAAGATGTTCTGGTGATCACAAGCAGCGGTCCCATCCGTGGCAAACGCCTCATGACAGATTCTGGCGCGGTGACAGCTTTCTTGGGAATCCCCTATGCTGAACCTCCTGTGGGGGAGCTGCGTTTTCAAAAACCCCGTCCTCACCAGCCTTGGAACCACACCTTGAGCGCCACCAGCTTTGGCAATACCTGCCACCAAGGGGGTATAGAACTTCCCGGCTATCGTGCGGAACAAAACTCGGAATCCACCCTCTCTGAAGACTGCCTCTTCCTCAATGTCTGGGTGCCTCATCCCCGACCCTCTGTGCCAGCTCCTGCCTTCGTCTGGATCCATGGAGGGGGTTTTCTCAACGGGTCTGGCTCCGTCGATAGGAGCTTCCTAGCTGCCACTGAGAATATCATCGTGGCTTCTATGAACTACCGCCTAGGTGCCTTGGGATTCCTCTCGCTACCCCCAGAGGCTCCGGGGAACGCTGGTTTGTGGGACCAACACCTGGCGTTGAGTTGGCTGAGGGAAAACATGGCCGCCTTTGGAGGGGATCCAACCCGTCTCACCCTGGGCGGTCAGAGTGCTGGGGCCGCCTCGGTTGGTTTCCACCTTCTCTCGCCGGCAAGCCAGGCTCTATTTGACCAGGCCACTTTACAAAGCGGCGCCGCAATTTCCCCCTGGGCTTGGGTGAGGCCTGAGGAGGCTATGAACAGAGGGCGAACCCTGGGCCGGTTTTTGGGCTGCGCCGAGGGTGATGACAGGGCTGTGGTGCGATGCCTGCGGAAGAAAGACCCAGGGGAGATGATGAAGGACTTGCCTATCCTCAGTCATAAAACCTTGTTGGGTTTCCCTTTCGTGCCCACAACCGATGGGGAATTCCTTCCGGATGCCCCTTCTAAACTTCTGGAAGCTGGGCAATTCTTGGACAAACCCATCCTGACCGGCTTCACCCGTGATGAAAGCACCATCTTCCTCGCAGGAAATGCCCCTGGTTTCAGCCTATACAACGACAGCCTGATTAACTACGAGCAACTCTTGGAAGGCCTCCGTCTAATGGTCCCAGAGGCACCTGAGGTTATCATCAAAGCCGCAGCAACCATCTACAGTCAGGAGGAGCAGGGGGAAGAACGATATCGGAACGCCTTGATAAAAGCTTCTGGAGACTACTTTTTCTTGTGCCCTGTGGCTGTGGTGGCCACCCGTATGGCAGAAGCCCAAAGTCTAGCATTTGCCTACTCCTTCACTCACCAGCCCTCCTTTGTAACCGTCTCCGACTGGGTTGGAGTGCCCCATTGTGCTGAGCTGCCCTTTCTGTTTGGTGACCCACTGTCTACTTCAGGATACACAGAGGCTGAGGGGACCCTGAGCCAAAGGGTTATGAGCTACTGGGGACAGTTTATAAGGACCGGGTAAGTGATCCCTCCGGGACGCGGGTGGCGCTGTGGGTAAAAGCCTCAGCGCCTAGGGCTTGCCGATCGAAAGGTCGGTGGTTCGAATCCCCGCGGCGGGGTGCTCGGTCCCAGCGCCTGCCAACCTAGCAGTTCGAAAGCACCCCCGGGTGCAAGTAGATAAATAGGGACCGCTTACCAGCGGGAAGGTAAACGGCGTTTCCATGTGCTGCGCTGGCTCGCCAGATGCAGCTTGTCACGCTGGCCACGTGACCTGGAAGTGTCTCCGGACAGCGCTGGCCCCCGGCCTCTTAAGTGAGATGGGCGCACAGAGATGGGCGCACAGAGTCTGTCAAGACTGGCCCGTTCAGGCAGGGGTACCTTTACCTTTTAAAGTGATCCCTCCAGTCTTTAGCACCGCCAACAGAAGAGCTGGTCCTTGTTCTCTTTGAATAGCAAGCTTCCCTTTTGGGCACTCTTCCTCTTCCCCATTTTGAGAACAAGACTTCGTACGCACTGAACATTCAAAGCACCCCCCCACAAGGAATCCTGGGAGCCGCAGATTACTCTTCACTTAAGCTCCAATTCTCAGCACCTTGAACAAACTAGAGTTCCCAGGTGGGGGAGGAGATGTGCTCTAAATGTAGAGTGTGCATGCAGTCCAAATTTCTTGGCTTTGCTTATCATAACCAGTGATTGCCTGAATTGGCAGAACAGCAACAATCTTTCCTTCCCCCTCCCCACATTTTATATGCCACTTTTCCAGGCAAAGCCTACCCAAAGTGGCTTACGACAGTAAAGAAGTGGGGGGGGGGGAGGGGAAATGAAAATTTCTTCTAAAAACAGAAAATAAGGAGGAAGGAAGGGTCATCGTTTTATTTATGTATTTTTGAAAAAGCTCTGGGCTTACTATTGTGAGTTGTTGTATTGAGAGTATTGCAGGATCGTAAACGGGTTTGCTTATGTTCTTCAAAACATCCCATGTTATCTTATCAAGGCCAGGAAAAGCAAACTGGCAAAAAGTTAAACATGGCCTTGCTTTTGAGCAGCAGTGCATGTTGATTTAGAGGGTGGCGTTCAGTTTCCTTGGAGTGAAGGTCAGCGGCGACTGTGGCGTTTTTAGGATAAACCTATACAACCTGAGCACAAGATGGAGGGGCTTGCAGCATTCACCCCTCAAAAGATCATGCTTCTCCATTCTTCGCAGGCACAGAGCAAACACGACTTAGTGGTAGACTCTAGAAACATATAAAAAACGCTGTGAAAATACCTTTTTTAAAAGGCGTCTTGAAAAATATATGGCATTTGCCTAAAGCTCACCACTGCCGTCTAGTGTTACATTTGTATAATGCGCTTAAAACACACTTAAAACGTTATATTTGCAGCTGTGTAGCTGAGTCCTGTGTCTACAGCTTCCAGTCTGCTTCCAACCTCCTCAAACACAACTCTGGCTACCGTCGTCCTACCCGGCAGCTGAGTGACAGGGGATTGAGGAAAGACCAGCCCATTTGTACTTTGTCACAGAGCAACTTCCATGGTTGTGCTGATTGTGCTGCTTTACTAGTGGAATTTTATTACATTTCCGCGCTTGATTTTTATCTCATTCTTATTCCTTTTACTGATTGGCGATGTTTGCTTCTCCTCACAGGTCTCCTGATGATGGAGCATGGCCTGTCTACACAGGAGAGAATTTCTTCCGCATTACCACAGAGCCAGCTGAGGCCGAGGAGGTGTCACCCACCCGTTACTGTGGCTTCTGGGTGTGGCTAGCCACGGAAGGATTTAAGGGTCAGGAAGAGCATGGTTTCGGGCCGGCGGGTGGGGGGAGTTGGAAGATACCACAGCCCAGTCAGATAACCCTCCTGTTCAATGTAATTTGGGAGCATCTGTCTGTGACACTCCTTGCCCCGCCCATGCAAGCCAGTCACTTGATGGGCACCAGCACACTCCGTGATAATGTGCAAGTGCTGCTTTGGGGTGCTGTACACATGGCCTCATCCATGTTGAGGGACAGGGGTGGCGCTGTGGGTTAAACCACAGAGCCTAGGACTTGCCGATCAGAAGGTCGGTGGTTCGAATCCCTGCGACGGGGTGAGCTCCCGTTGCTCGGTCCCTGCTCCTGCCAACCTAGCAGTTCGAAAGCACGTCAAAGTGCAAATAGATAAATAGGTACCGCTCTGGTGGGAAGGTAAACGGCGTTTCCGTGTGCTGCTCTGGTTCGCCAGAAGCTGCTTATTCATGCTGGCCACATGACCCGGAAGCGGTACGCCAGCTCCCTCAGCCAATAAAGTGAGATGAGCGCCGCAACCCTAGAGTCGGGCACGACTGGACCTAATGGTCAGGGGTCCCTTTAGCTTTACCTTTACACATGGCCTCATAAATATGTCACCCCTGTTTTATTTGCCGATCTAAAGCGTATTCTTCTGGAAAAGTTATAATCTGTTTTATGCTGAGGATGCGCTTCCAATCACAATTCAAAGTGTTGGTGCTGACCTTTAAAGCCCTCAATGACCTCAGCCCAGCATACTTGAAGGAGCATCTCCACTCCCATCGTTCAGCCCAAACACTGAGGTCCAGCGCTGAGGGCCTTCTGGCAGTTCCCTCATTGAGAGAAGTGAGGTTTCAGGGAACCAGTAAGAGGGCCTTCTTGGTAGTGGCGCCCACTCTGTGAAATGCTATCCCAGCTGATGTCAAGGAAATAAACAACTATTTGACTTTTAGAAGACACCTGAAGGCATCCCTGTTCAGGGAAGTTTTTGATGGTTGATGTTTTATTGTGTTTTAAATATTTTTCTGGGAGCCGCCCAGAGTGGCTGGGGCAACCCAGTCAGATGGGCGGCATATAAATATCATCCTCATCCTCATTTCTGCTTGCCTGCATATGCAGACGGTGCTTTCTCAGGTCACCTCCTATTGGGGCAGACTTCCTGACATTGTAGTCTATGTACACAGCCTAAGACAACCCACTGGTCCTCCAAGCAGAGAGGTCAGAAATGGGTTTTCACCAGATGCAAGAAGCCTGTTAGTATTGTTATGCTTCCAAGGGGAGGGTGTGTGTGTCCATAACTAAGGTGCCACCACAGAAAAGGCTCTCATTTTCATCCCTGCAGAATGAGCAACATTCATTGGTGGAGGCACAAGCGGAGCCTGCCCCCTCCTATCAATCTCAGGGCGCGGATGGTTGGTATGGGGAGAGGTGCCCCACAATTTCCCATTAGTGTCAGAATGGTTCTATATCAGGAATAATCGATCCTGCAATGCAAATGGGAATATGATTTGCAACCCTAGCATTTTTCCTACTGCAGCTTCCTTTACCCAAACATGCCTTCCTGTTTTCCAGACTCTGAGCAGATGGATGAAGAAAGTGACTCTGATTGGTAAAAGTATCTGGAAATGGATGATGTAGATATCACTTAAAAATGCAACTATCCTTGTTCTTCAACTATCCCGAATCTCAGCCAAGCAATGTGGATTCATGCAGGTCGATTTTACCTTGTGTGTGAATATCTTGAGGATCTCACTTTTCAAAGAAAAACGAGAGAGAAAGAAGTTTTTTTCAGATGCACTCAGTCATTAACAACAGCTTTAAAATATGATTTCAGCCTTTGCTCTAAGATTCCACAGCCACAAACAAATAAAAGAAGCCAGCAGCAACTTTTGAGAACTTTTGGAGTCTGGTGATTATTTCCCTTTTTATTATCCCTCCACCAACCATTTTTCCAGTTAAAAAGGGGGGAAAGTAAATTGCGAAGTGAAGTTACAATTCCTGCACCTGCTCTTCCTGTTTCTCTCTTTCAGACAGACACTCCGAAACAAACAACCCTCCATTTACAGGCCACATCTTCACTCCAATTCATGCAGGGATTTCTCCTGCCCTTCACTCACTCTCTGCAAATTCTTCTGCCTCTTGCTTCCCTGTTCCTCAGCTTGGATTGCCTCCTGCTCTCTGCTGGGGGACTCTCCCTCTTGCTTCGCATGACGCCTTTTGATCATTCAGCCAATCAGGGCTGTGTCAGAATTCTTCTTGCACCCAGGCACTCCCTGGTCCCCCCCTGAGCAATTCCTGCCAAGCCTCCCTCAGCTGCTTCTCTCTCTTGAATCAGATATACAGTGGTACCTCGGGTTATATACGCTTCAGGCTACACACTCCACTAACCCAGAAATAGTGCTTCAGGTTAAGAACTTTGCTTCAGGATGAGAACAGAAATTGTGCTCCAGCGGCACGGTGGCAGCAGGAGGCCCCATTAGCTAAAGTGGTGCTTCAGGTTAAGAACAGTTTCAGGTTAAGTACGGACCTCCAGAACGAATTAAGGACTTAACCCGAAGTACCACTTTAACCCTATTTCCTCCCATCAATTCTCGCTGTGTGCCTTGGCGTTACCAGAAGTGAGGCTTCCTGAAGTTCCATCATTGCCTTTCCCAGATTTCCAGAATCATGGAATTGCAGAGTTGGAAGGGAGCCTGAGGATCATCTGCAATGCAGGAATACACAACTGTCCCAAGCGGGGATCGAACCTGCGACCTTGACATTATCAGCACCACGCTCTAACCAACTGAGCTATCCAATGAATAGCAGGGCAGTAGCATTTATTTACCCAGGTCTCATTGCTTCTTTTTCTTAAAAGTGAGAGTGTAAGTACAAATAAACTTGTGACACACTTGGTGGAAGGCCAGCAAGCCCAGGGGCCAGCAGCCAATTGCTTGCTTTAATGTTACTTAACACACCACCAAAAGCCAATAGGAAAGGTGGAATAAAAATATTTAAAGTAAAGAACCAAAATATGTTCAGGAACCCTTCTCTTCTGAGCGCTGTGAGGTTGCAGATCTCCCTTCAAACTCCACATCAAAGTAAGTCTCTGTTTCCCAATGCCTTTGATCCTAGCACTGGACTTCCACCTTGCCAGTACAAGGCTGTGGATATGGGAGAATCAAGGCTGCTTTGGGCTGCTGATGCTGTGAACCCCTCCATTGTAGGCTCAGGATGCGTCCCTTCCAACTCTCCAGTTCTATGATTCGATCAAGGGAAGTAATAGTGCCACTGTATTCTGCTCTGGTCAGACCTCACCTGGAGTACTGTGTCCAGTTCTGGGCACCACAGTTCAAGAAGGACACTGACAAACTGGAACGTGTCCAGAGGAGGGCAACCAAAATGGTCAAAGGCCTGGAAATGATGCCTTATGAGGAATGGCTAAGGGAGCTGGGCATGTTTAGCCTGGAGAAGAGGAGGTTAAGGGGTGATGTGATAGCCATGTTCAAATATATAAAAGGATGTCACATAGAGGAGGGAGAAAGGTTGTTTTCTGCTGCTCCAGAGAAGCGGACATGGAGCAATGGATCCAAACTACAAGAAAGAAGATTCCACCTAAACATTAGGAAGAACTTCCTGACAGTAAGAGCTGTTCGACAGTGGAATTTGCTGCCAAGGAGTGTGGTGGAGTCTCCGTCTTTGGAGGTCTTTAAGCAGAGGCTTGACAACCATATGTCAGGAGTGCTCTGATGGTGTTTCCTGCTTGGCAGGGGGTTGGACTCGATGGCCCTTGTGGTCTCTTCCAACTCTATGATTCTATGATTCTAAGATTCCAATGATACTGTGGTACCTCGGGTTAGAGACGCTTCGGGTTACAGACGCTTCAGGTTACAGACGCTTCGGGTTACAAACTCCCCTAACCAGGAAGTGGTTGCTCCAGGTTAAGAACTTTGCCCCAGGATAAGAACAGAAATTGCGTGCCAACGGTGCAGCGGCAGCAGCAGGAGGCCCCATTAGCGAAAGCGCGCCTCAGGTTAAGAACCGTTTCAGGTTAAGAACGGACCTCTGGAACGAATTACCGTATTTTCCCCTCTATAACACGCAGATTTTTTCTCCTAAAAAGGAAGGGGAAATGTCTGTGCGTGTTATAGAGCGAATGTGTGGTCCCTGGAGCCAAAAAATCAAGCAAAAGTCAAATCGCGAGTCACGGAGAAGGGAAACCTGAAAAGAGGAAGTGGCAGCTTTCCTGCATTCTGCCTCAGGGTCTTACTGCCCACCCTCCTCTGTTTCGTTGCTGTGATTGCTGAAACGGAACAAAGAGCAGGGAAAGCCCCTCCCCTCCAGGCAAGCAGCAGAGTGCCGTTCTTTCTAATTCCTCTCTGTGCTCCGGTGCTGCTGGGGGAGAGGGAGAGAGAGTGGGGGAGGGAGAGGGAGAGGGGGGGGAGGGAGAGGGAGAGAGGGGGGAGGGAGAGAGGGGGGGAGGGAGGGAGGGAGAGAGAGAGAGAGAGAGAGAGAGAGAGATGGCTGGCTTGGGGGGGAACTTTTGCCTTTATTTCCTCCCACCCGTTAAATCCCTCTCCAGCATTCTTAGCCAGCTGCTTCTCTGCACACCCCTCTCATGTCCCTTCTTTGTTTTTCCTTCGCTCCCCACTTAAAATGTGGTTACAAAGCATAGATCAACATGGATCCTCAGGATCTTTGCATTGGGTCACCCCAAATTCACCATCAGATCACATAGCATGTCCATGGCTACAGCCTGCACCAAAAAAATCACGCACCCACTGTTGCCTGGGGCTGCAATGGTGCAAAAACGTGGTTAAAAAGCATGGATCCACATGGATCCTCAGGATCTTTGCATTGGGTCACCCCAAATTCACCATCAGATCACATAGCATGTCCATGGCTACAGCCTGCACCAAAAAAATCACGCACCCACTGTTGCCTGGGGCTGCAATGGTGCAAAACGTGGTTACAAAGCATGGATCCACAGGGATTCTCAGGATTTTTGCATTGGGTCACCCCAAATTCACCATCAGATCACATGTCTGTGGCCACAGCATGAAGCACAAAAATGATACATCCACTGTTTCATTCAGAATGTTTTTTCCCTTGTTTTCCTCCTCTAAAAACGATGTGCGTGTTATGGTCAGGTGCGTGTTATAGAGCGAAAAATACGGTAAGTTCTTAAGCCGAGGTACCACTGTACATGTAAATAAACCATACATCATAAAGACACCACAGTCTCTGCTTGACCTCACTTCCGAAAGGAAACACAAACTCTGGGTCGGTGCCTGAAACCCCTGGAATCTTGCACTGCTTCAAGACTGGGGTGGCATGCAACAATATTTAAAAGTAGGACTTGAGCACAATAATGCTCTCCCCACCTGGTATTCAGAGTCCCACTGCCCCCATTAGTGTGTGTATGTGTGGGACAGCATGGTCACCATTCCCCTGATAGCCTTAGACAGGGACTCTTCTTCTCCCAAAGCCACAAGGTTGCATATCAAGGATTGGGAATCTGCTCTATCACTCCGTAGCAAAGCCAAGCCTCCATTTCCCCATATGCTTGATCCAAGACATGAACTTCCACCTTGTCAATCTATAGCATCCTCCCACTCTTTGGACAGAGCCTGAGAGGTCAATGCTCTTTTCGGTTAGCACAGTTACTCTCTGTCGCTGGTGGCTGTTTGTGAACATTGCAGGGAACACACTGGTCCCTTCTGCAATTTGTTCTCCCCTTTGGCCTGAGCTGGGATCAGGAGTGGAAAACAACTTGTGAAGGAGACGGGAGGTGAGTCCTTACAATTAGGAAAACCCATTTGCTTTTGAAGAATTGGTTTGGATTTAGACTTCCTAGGCCTGCATGCATCTAATTCTGAAACAATGTCAATGGTTGACTGTTCAAGTCTGTTGCAGGAATCTATGCAATTCCTGTACTTAAGGCAACCCTGGCCGATCTTTTCCTTGGACTGCTATTTCTCTGAACTACAACAGCTACACATAGCTTTAACCCAAGCCTTTGGGGTGTGGGTGTGAGAAAGAGGGGAAAGCGGAATGTGATGCCCATTCTGTCATTTAGGACCCAGAAGCCCTCCCCTCTTTGCAGGTCTAGTGACTTGCTCTTGAATTATTTTGCTTCAGGTGGGTGATTTAGGTTGCACTCCCAATCACACTTACTAGGAAGGAAGTGTCATCAATCCCAGAAGATCTTACTTCTGAATAGGGATGGTGAGTCTGTCCATATCAGTCTCTCTCCGGTTCTCATTTTTCCAACCATAAATTCGGCTCTCCACATTTTGCATCCATTTGCATTTATAAAGACATTGCCACAGAAATTAAGTAGCAGCATAGTAGGAATTTCTCATAATATATATACAGTATTTTTATAATCAGTTTTGACTGATTAACAATTTTGGGGGGAAACAAATTGCCTAATATAATGCATTTTTATGCTATTTTCACTAAGATCCTCACTCTTCCTTCCACTTTCCATTAATACATCCATTTATGTAAGCATTGTTGGGTTAGATAACTGTATCACAAAATTCAGACACAAAATTCAGAATAGCTGTGCTTCAACTTTAAATGCATACTGGATAGACAGAATTTCTCCTCCATTCCTAAGAAATGGGTCCCAGCAACATCCCTGTGATATGGCAAAGGCTGCAATCCTAACCATGTCTAGTCAGGAGTAAGTCCTATTGAATTAATGTGGCTTATGCCCAGGTACAGCTTTCATCTATGTACGTTTACTCAAAAGTCCAGCTGAGTTTCCGGGGGCATTTTGCCATCAGACAGCCTAGTATGTCCCTGTGACATAAGTGCTGGATGAAAAATGTTAATGAAGGCTCTCTATTACCTACCCACCATCAGCCTCTGTTTCTGGAAAGAGCCTTGTTCTGGAAAAAGAACTGTTGCTTTAAGAAACATT